TTCCTGCTAGCTTGAGTATTCTTCATTGCATAGTTTGACTTTATTTCATATATTGCATTTTGCTTGAGGTTGACATTAGCATTTGACCACAGCTTCTGGCACCAGTACACAAGGAAATGAATTATGATCTTTCCCATGGCAAAGTAAGTGGATTGCTAGTTGAACTGTGATGCATTAGCAAAGTTTAACACCAATACAAGAGGAGGATGAGACAAAGAGTTTGCTAGTGATTACACAAACATTTCCTTAATGCCATCACCTTTACATCTCCCTGAGACAGAAGGCATTAGTAAATTCTATTATTTGGAAACAGTGCAATTTTGTACACATATTTTAGTTTGAATACAAAGAATGGATATTTATGGTTTTATTTTGAGAATGTAATTTTTCAAGGTGATAATATGGCATTATGTTTTCAAATAAGCCTTTTTTAAGTAAGACAGTTGAGTGGCCATATAACTTTTGATTCCTGTAGCTTCAAAAATAAATTTAATGTAATATTTTTTGTGTGGAGAAAATATAAAAGGCTAGGGTTAAATTCCGATATTCTTTTAAGAATCATGGCAGACAAAAATTGGAAATAATTTCTTTCATCTAAATGCGCTAGTCTGGGTTAATAAGAAAAATCTTTAACCATTAAATTTGATTACATCACTTGTCTTTTTTTTTTAAATATAATACATGAATTGTTATATAAGAACAGTAGGATTTCAGTCCAGTTTTTGTTTGTCTTAAACTGCTCATGGAACTAGTGTTAGTTTTCACAAAAATGGCCAGTTGTCCTACACAGACATGTTTAGGTCCCTGAGAGTGCATGGAGTTTGACACTCAGAGAATGAACAAAATTCAGTCTTCAAATATTAATCACTATTTAAACCTGGCTTAAAAAAAAAGTCTTAGTCATTTTACTAATGTGTCTTCACTGAAAAGTTTAAGAAAGCAACCTGGTAAAACAGCTTTCAATGCTCATGAATCAATGAAAGAAATATGGTCTTTCTTTTTTGCTTAATGGCTTGCATCTTTTATCTTACATAGTTCAATGGCATAGAATTACAATAAATTAGTTTTGCAATTATCAAACTCTTCAACTTCTCTTTGGCATTTAACGAACCTCAGAATCTGTTTATTGCTTCCTATACTTTGCCATCACGAACATTAGCCTTTAATTAACTGGAACTCTAATCTTAATCTTTCTCAGTATATTGCAATGAAACATTTTTATTAACTTGAAGAAGATAGTATTTGTTACTATTTTTCCAATAAATGGAATACTTTCAGAATGACCTTTTTATCAGTAATTATAGCAATATAAAATGTAAGATGGCAAAACTCATTATACCAAAGAAAAGCATTGTCTGATTAGTTTTTGTGTATTTCACTTAGTTACATAAAATCACTAATAAGACTCAGCTGAGAGAGGCCTATAGAGATCATGTGGTCCAGGCATAGATCAGGAATTGCAAAAAAGTGAAAGAGGAAATAATACACATAAACTTTTCCTCAGGCAGATTGTGCACAGCTAGAATGACCCAAAGCAGTAATTGCATTAGAGAATAGTGCTCCGTGGTGGTCTCCCTAGTAATGAAGCCTGGAAGGAAAAGAAACTGGTTGTAAAAGTTAAGCTTTTTTTGCAGTACTGGCTCAGTGTAGCCACTTAGCAAAGGTTTCATAACTAGGTTTGCCAGATACAAATGAAACAAGTTGTCTTCATTAAATAAAGGAGAGTGCAAAAGTACTCTTCAGTCATGCAACATTACTGTAACTTCAATGCAGGGGCAGTTCCACTGTCTTCCTGATTACTGATACTTCTTTGTTCAAGATAGATGTTAAGCTCATTTCTTTCTTGATCATTTAATTCCTTTGAAGTTAGTTGCTCTTCCAGGTATTTAAAGGTCTCTGTATCTATTGCAGACCAATATGACAAGAAAAGCATCTTTATGACAAAGGGAAAAACAACAGATCTCTCTGTTGGCACTATTTTCAAATATTTGGTACACTGCTGCTTCTTCAGCTGGACACAGTACTTTGGTAGTTATACAGTGCAAGAGATGTTTGGAGGGTAAAAAAGTCCATGTTCAAGAGGAGGCAGTAATGGCATGTAATATTGAAATGAGAGATATGATAATAGATGAAATTTATTAATGGAACTTCTTAATACTTGGTATTAGGAATAATTAATTATTTAATATTTTCATTTAAAAAATCAGGATTGCATAATGAAATGTATATGACATAATGTTTGAAGTTGTTATTAAGATAGATGAAAATCATGGTGTGACAGATACAAGTGGAAGTCTTTGAGAACTGATTTAATAGAAATGTAATTAAATATTTTAGTAAAAATTGCAACATAATGTACTTAAAACTAATGACAAGAAATTATATTGTTAACATTGATCTCATAATCTGAAAAAAGTACTTGCTGTGGCAGTTAATCAATGGATAACTATAAGATGCCAGTGTGATGTCACCATGAGACTAAATGTAAGGCTGAGAGACCTACCAAACAGACTGTATCACATGAGAAATAATACTCATTGTATTTATGATTCCTGATAATAAGGATTTAGTCAACTTGAATGATACCTTTTTCATCAACTTTTCCAGTCACATCTTGAATGTACAGAAACTTTTAGTATTTTCAACACTGATTTTCAGCCAGGAGTTCCATAAATCCATTATTTTCTGACTGAATACATAACTACTTTTGTTTGTTCCAAATTTCTTACTGACTAGATGTTTTTTTATGTCCCATGCTTTTACTGAAGGAGATAGTGGAAAATCTGCCCTTATCACCTTCTACGTAATGTCATGATTTTATAGTTCTTTATTTTATTCTTCCATAGTAATCATTTGCTCAGTTTGTTCTGTTATTTACCTTCAGTCATTACCCTCTTCTGGACTTTTTCTAATAATACCAATACCTTTTTTGAGATGGCAGATCAGAGTTGGTATACTGCTTAAGATGGAGCTTCTAAGGCTTCATGTAAGGACAATGCACAACGAAGGGATTTGATACCAACATACCTTTAGTCCTTCTAGTATCTTTGTTCTTGGATAAAGAATAGGAATAAATTAATTAACATAATCATATTTTCTAGAAAATTTGTTAATTGCAGTAGCAAAAGGCTTGTAGCAAATTTACAAACATAAGCGGGGAAGAAGAGAATGTCTTGTATCAGAGAAGATGTAATTTAAGATTGCATTAGCTATCTCTAATTATGGTAGTTGGCTAGAAAGAATTCAGATTGTATCTCATGCAGTTGAGACAACATATTCTTTATCAATAATTTAAGTTAAAATCTAACAGTGACCTCTCATATTGTACAGAAAATAATGTTTTAAAGGATGAATGAAAGACCTGTTTGTGAATAACGTACAAAAGAACAGAGGTGCTTTTCCAGTGGCCTCAAAGTGCAGTGACGGTTGAGACTTGCCTCAAATGAAAAAAAAAAAAAAAAAAAAAAAAAAAAAAAAAAAAAAAAAAACCCCAAAAAAACCCCAAACAAACAAGCCACAAAAAAACCAAGTGAAAGTACTTACATAGAACAAACTGTTCCCCTGCAGAACAGCAAGTGGAGGTTTATTTACATTGGTAAAAAAATGCTTTTCTTTGAGTATTACTCTCAGCTGCTACAGATGTGTTTACTAAACAAAGTTACAGCTCTGCATATCAAATCTATTTTCACTGGACATGGTCTATCAGGGACAGCAATATGCAACAATAGGTCACAGTTTAGTAACCCTAGTTGAAGCAATTTGTAGAAAAGTAGAGTACAGGCATATCAATAGCGGACTCCTTTACCTAGGTCAGTAGAAAATTATGTGAAAACATTTTGGGGGAATAAAGTAAAATTTAGATCAAGAAAAAAATTAGATCTTTAGTCAAATTTAGATCTGTAGTTAGCAGAGTTAAATTACAGAAGAGCCCAAATGAAAAAGAGGATGTTACAAATTTACATTCTCTTCACTGGCAAGCTGGATGTCTGCTAGAAACTAATATAAGGGTCACTGAAGACAAAAAGACTTTTTTATTTTTTGAAAATGACACATTCTAGCATTTTTAACAAAAGAAACATGCAGGGAATTGTAGGAAGTTCTTATCCCAGATGTACAGCCATGGAGTTTCACAATGAAGAATCAGTTGTCAAGGGCATTTGAGATTAATTAAGCTCTCTTAGACTCTCTTAGCATTTGAGATTAGCTTTGTTAATTAGCTTAAAGAATAGATTTCTTTTAAGTACTTGAAATTCTATTATCATAGTGCCAATTGTTAGTTGCTGTTACTACCACGTTTGAGAAAAAGATTCCAGCATGAACATTTTGGACTTGGTCTGTCATTCAAACTATGCCATATGCTAAACCAGCAATAGCTCAGATGAGAACTAACTGGAGCTAAATCAAATTTCCTCACAGGCAGATGAGCAAGGTCTTCATTCTTTCCAGTGCTTCAGCCATCACTATTGAAGGACTGGAAGTCATATGAAAGCCAAATCCATAGCATTCAGGGAAGGGATATGCTAAAAGAGATTACCTAATCTCGTTACCTAATGACTAGCAAAATACAGTGGAAGGTGCAAACAGTAATATTAGTTGGAAATCAAGTCAAATTACTTCTAGAAAGAAACAGAAAAAGAAGAAATACTTAATTTCCCAACAATCTACTATGTAATGTCACTACCTTCTTGGTGTTTTCTTTTTGCTTAAAAATGCTGTGATAATAGAAAGATCTACTTTAAAATATAGCCAGTTTTTATGGGATACTCTAAAAGTAGAAAAAAAAAAAAAAAAAAGAAAAAAGGTTGTCAAATCATTACCAAAGTGTACTTTTAAAGAAGTGAATTTTAGCATATAAAGAAGAAAGCAAACTATAATTTGGGAGATAACTATTATTCTTCTTTTATATCTATTTTAAGCCAGGCTTTAGGCTTTTTCTAAAACTATATTGCCACTAAACTGTGGGGTTTTTTTGTTTTGTTGTTTTATTTTTTCTTTTTAAGGTAAGAGGGCCCCCACCTGCAGGATCAGTAAAACAAAGACCAGCAAAACACACAGCTTTTCGCAAGTTTTATGAGAGAGGAGACTTTCCAATTGCTGTTCAGCATGAGTGTGTAGGAAACAGAATCGCCTGGAAGGTAAGTCCTGGCTCAGCTGTGACAACCAGCTGAGCTTATTTAAGTGACATCTCTCATTGTCCAACAAAGTTAGCTTGCAAGTAAATACACTGAAATAATTTCTTAGCAAATGGAAGATGGTGGGAAAGTCATTAGAGAAAGGCCCCTGAGTCAGCTGTCTGTCTTGGCTAACAATTAAATTATATGCTGCAAAAAGGAAGATGACAGAGTTGCTTTGCCGTAGAGAATTGTCTCCTGCCCAATTCATCTCTATTTTTATGAGGACTTGGCAATGCAGCCTGTTTCAGGCAGTCCATCAAATGATGGAAGTGGCTGGATACAATGAGCAGCAGCCATTTATCTCCCCCAGATTTCACCTTCCTGCAGGACACTTCCAAATAGAAGCTTTAATTACCTAAATGGATAGGTCAAGATTGTCTGCTCCCTGAAAATGCAGAGCAGAATACAAACGAAGGCAGATTCTCATTCCACAGCTGTACTCTGAGTCTCCAGCATATGTCAGACAGCGTAATCGCTGTCATACGTGCCTCTGTTACAGGCTGACCTCCACTGCTGAAACTATTACAGCTCCGACATTTCTCTGACAAAAGGTTAATTGGCTTCAAAATAAATGTATTGCCTAATGACTCTATTCTAATGCAGCTGTGTTTCTCTCTAAAATGCTTGGTGATGTTATTTGTAAAACTTGCCAATCTTCTAAGTAACTACTGCAGACTTTTAATTTAAAAAATGCATGCTGAACTTTAACCTGCTCCTACTATTTAATTATTTTTGTTATAATGAATTATTTTATTTATTTTTGTCTCATTTATTGGACTAGAAAGAGATTTTGCTGGAAGCCATGTTAGTTGCAGAAAATGAACACGATATGCATGAACAAAATGTGTCAGATTTGTAGAATGTTTTAAATTTTTCATGTCAAAAACATGATACCAAATTTAAATGTAAAGCTATGTTAAGTCAACACTAAAAGGAGGAATTTTGCAATCTTATCAATGATTCTGCTTGTAATGAAGCAAACAGGATCGGCTCTGTAGTGTGGTAAGTAGTACAATATTTGATAGTAACTAAATTTTTAAGGTAGCTCTTTTGCTTATTGAAATAGAGAAGAAAGATTTGTGCTACTATTTTGTTGCCTATAGAGGTTTTGAATCAGCACAAGGAACAATTAATAGTTCTTGCAGCAAAGGGAATCTCTGTCCCAAATTACTTTATCCACCATCAAGATAAGATTCCAGTGCAATTTGTCTTCAGGCAACACTAGAAATTCCCTTGCTGGACTAGAACTCACAGGCTTACAACTTAAGCCTGCACTCTGATCTTTCATCACCAGGTAAGACCCAAAGGTGATTTTCAAGTAACTGCAAAAAAATCTGCACAATTTAATTTTCATCTTTAGGCTTTTTAATTTCTAATTTCTCAAAATCAGACAGAGAGGTACAGAAATACTACTGGATTGGCATTCCACTAGATGATGCTAGTGACTGCCTAGTTGACTTAGGATGTCAGGAAATTAAATGGAGCTGCATAAGAAATTCAGATGGGACATTAGCAAAAGGTTTTTCATTGAGAGGGTGGTTGGTCACTGGAACAGATTCCCCAGGGAAATGGTCATGGCACCAATCTTTTTAGTTTCTGGACAAAGCTCTTAGTCACATGATTCAGATTTAGGTAGTCCTGTGAGGAGAAAGGAGTTGTATTTGATGATTCTTATGGGACACTCCATCTTACTAATTTATCTGCAAACCTTCCAACCACATGCTAAAGTGTTTGATTCCTATATCTGGCAGTTTTAATTGTTTGAAAACATACTGCCCTGAACAGTCATCACAACAGCAGAGTGTCTAGTCAAAGATCCAGCATGTATTTTTTCTTAACAGACTTTGCATCTTCTAGACCTAATGTCCACCTACTGCAGTAAAACACTGGCTTTTAGCTAGCGCAGTGTAGGACTGAGATGTCATGCAAGAGTTATTTTTGCTCTTCTGCTAATCCTTTCTTTTGAAAAAAAATCACAACTTCAGCATGAATGCAAGTAAGCAGCGCAGAAGTGGACTATTCCATTCCTATATTAGTGCACGTTCAGATTCAACCTTATTTCCCTTATTCCATGCCACTCAATTTAGTGACAAATCAATCCTGAGTTCTGTGGCAGGCAGGCACTTAGCAACACTGAGGTAGTAGTTACTTGAGGCTATATACTGTCATTGATTACTGTGCAGTTTAAGTACCCAAAACAGGCAAACTGCACTTTCCAGTTCAAACTCTGCACTAGATTCCTTCTGAAGTCTTAGAGGTTGCCCAGAGCTGCAAAAGGGTGATAATATTGTTCATCCTGAGCTGATACTTAAAGGTACAGATAAAGTAAGGTCTCTATTTTTCACTTGTTTTAAGGACATAGTTGCACTACCCAAAAGACATATAATGGCTAATTTTCATCAGTGTATTAGTTGTATATCTAATTAAAGAATTTAACTTTTTAGTAATATATTTTACTCAATACTGTTAAATTCATGACAGTTGAAAAGATATTTTACTTATGAAATGTGTCGAGGAAAATGTCCTATAAAACCTTGGCTGAAGTATACTTACTTGAATGAATCATGATCAAATGGAAGATAAAAAGAAGAAATGAATGGTAACAGTGATATTTTAATCCTGCTGTAACTACCCACTATCAGTGTTTTATGTTGAGAGCAATTGTTTTGCTCTATTTAGTTATAATGTATGTCATAGTTCATTTCACTCTTGTTAGTTTGTCTATCAAATGGTGCATGAGAGAAAATGCAGGAGGGTCTCAGAAACCTGACTTTTTTACTGGCAAAGGAAAATACTACAGGATTTTGTTCTTTCCTGCAAAATACACAGCTGTATTTTATTTGCTTATTTGTTTGTTTTTATAATTACTAAATCAAAACTGTAATTGTAAGACATTAATTTTTTTTTTTCAAACACTTTGAACACTTGTTCATTATGTTGTAATTCTTTGGACAGAATATAGTAATTTTCAGGCAGAATAGGAGAATCTGAAATGCTTTAATATACATGAATTGTATTTGGTTAATATGTACCAAAAAATTCACATAAATGACCATTGATATTGTGACAGTTCTGCAGATCTATAATTTTAAGTCCATGATTAATTACCTGTAAGGGCTGGCTACACATAACTGTGGTTGTAGACCTAGATGAAATATAAATTTAAACTTCAGGAAATGTATAGAACTGTTTCTGAGTAACTGCAAATGTTGAGTATTTAATAGTGCTTCTATGTTGTTCAATCACTTAATAGTTTAAAAAATGCACTAAATTTAGAAAGAGGCATTCTTGCTCCAAATTAATCCTAAGCATAAACAAGAAGATTAAACTGTGCAGATAAATCATGGTGTTTACCTTGGTGTCTTTTCTTAAAAAAAGAGACCAAAGCAAATTAAATCTTACTAGATCATTACTGGAAGATGTGTGCTCTTGGTGAATTTTCAGACTAAGTCTTTACAGGCATCTGTTAGAATATTTCTGTAATGCTGTCATTCTGCTTGGTAAGTTTTACTATTGTTGCAAGTTTAAATAAACCTGTTTCAACTTAATGGAAGAAAAAATGTGAAAAGATAATATACACTTATAACATATTATAGTCAAGAGCAGAAAATTGAAGCTGGTTTTAAAGAATACCATCAGCAGAAAAAAAAAAAAAGGATCAAAAAAGCTCTGATAATGCCAAAGCAAAATTATGTGGTTCTGAGGATGTAATTGCATTTATTTCTGAAAACAGAAGACATTGATTGTCTTGGAGTTCCTAATGTTTGTTTTCAAATCTGGAGAGAAGTTGTCCTTTTGTTATTTTGAAAAAGTGAATATAGAGAATGACTTGTTAATTATGTGTGTGAAAACAAGACATAACTTGCTACACAAACTTCTGGCTTTGATTTTAATTGATTTGATTTTAATTTAATTGATTTCAATTAAATTAAAAAAATAATGTCAAAATTAATTCCAGACTCTTCAAACCCTTTCAGTAGACGTACTAGTAGTCAGTGACTTCTTTGCTAAATAGCGTATGCTCAGTGTAACATTTTACTCTCTAATTTGAAGCCTTTATTTTAATCCTTTCTTGGTAATCAAAAAGAGAACTGTATATATACTAGTGCCTTAAAATTTCTGCAAATATTTAATGTTTATGTTTCCTTTGTAAAGTAGTTTTTAAGATCTAGAAATAAACAACTTCTTTGGTTGAGTTATTGGACAATTATTCAAGGGTCTTTCCAAATAAGAAGGTTTTTTTTTTTCCACTAAGAGAGAATGAGTACTAATGGCATGGTTTGAAAAAGTATTTTTAATGGGTATTAAATGTAAAACTTGGGAACATAAATTTTTGTTAATTTAGAATTCAATAATATTAGAAAGTGATCTTTATATTGAAAGAATGTACTAAAATATGTATAAGTCTTTTGACTACTTTTGTGGAATCCCAGAATTCTTTTTCAGCTTATGTATATTGCAATTTTATTTCAAAATGTATTAATACATTCTTTTGCACAATCTAATACCAAGCTATGAATAATAAAAGCTCATAGTTCATGTCTGAAAAGGACTTCCATTTTTAAATATATGTTACTGAATTAAAAAAGGTCAGAATGCAATTAAACCTTTGACTAAGAAAGTTGATAAAACCAAGTATTTCTGAATTATAAAGTATGTGTTTGAAATGCAGTCTCTCTGTATTAAACGAAAAGCCATCAGAATGTTTGAAAAATTATTTTTTTAGGGAGTGGAGTTAATTATGCAAGTTATTATACAGGAGTAAAAAAAGCTTCTATTCTTCAAAAGAATTTGAGCAATTTCAGAGAAATAACAGCCAAATTCAGAAACTCAAACTTTTAAGCAAAACATTAACATGAATATGATTTCCATTTTTTGGGGTATTTTCCCAGAGTATCTATATTCATTAAGGATATGACTTCCACCATTTTAGTTTCTCTTTATGTCCTCTTTCCTACACA